GCCTCATATCATAACCATAAGAAATATAGTGTTCAACTGATCACACGGACAAATCAAGAACATAATGGCCTGTGCACGGTTCCACGCAGCTACGAAAATGAATGCAAAAAGTAACCCCATTTACCTCAATTTTGTTTGGTCTAGCCAACCTGATAATGGCTTATGCCTCTGATAACATCCCTGCTCTCTAAACAAAACGAGGTAGGGTTATCAAGTTCAAACTCCTTCATTTGACCGCCAGAGAAACACAGAATGGACATACTTCTTGCACAAATACCAACGACATCAGCCGACTAAGCGAAAATCGGGGGCTAACCAACAAACAAAGCAGAATATCAAATGACGGTGGCCTTTTAATGCCACGTTTACAATGTGGCGACAGCAGAAGCGAATTAACTTATGGAGTATCAAATTTAGTGCGGTCAGGATAGCCTGCGCATGAAAGTAACTGGTCAGTAAGATCAACAGTGAAGATAGAGTTGACCCCATTTTATCAGAACTCGAAGCAGCGATCAACGCCACATAATGCATGAGAACATTTGCACTTAACTGGTCTTTGTGGACAAAGTCCACGCGGAACAACTATAGCAAATTCACCAAATATCAGAAATTGTCATGTTACAAAATACAAAGTCCTTGACAGATATGTAAGTTTTCGGACGTGTTTATTTTAAAAATACCCGTCGTCAGCACTTTCACACCAAGCTTATGGATAGTATCGTATCCGGAAAAAGTCAATTCCAATTTACAGAAAATTCATGGTATTTAAGACCGTATTCTCAAATTGAAATTTTATTTAGAGCAGCATTCGCAATTATCAGGAAGATCTCCACGAATGTATGTGTTCACAGTAATGCATCAGACACATCTTAGATTTCATCGTTGACAAAAGATCCACCAAACTGTCTGCATTTGACTGTGTAGGTTTGTATCCCAATAGTTGAGCCTTTTTTGTTGAACAAAACTTCACACGTAAATAGAAGGCGTAAATCCTCACATCAAAAAATTAATTATCGACTATCCACCAAAAGGTCAAATGACTGAAATATTCGGCGTAATATGGATTTCAAGGAAACAATATTTTGGTTGTTAGTTAGGATTCGCATTTTGAAAAAAAACAACCACCTACGACGACTGAGAGTTACGCTCTTATGAAAATGGATCTTGCTCTTACTAACTGTGGTCGACACGGACCATACAGTGTATTCATGACTGCTTTGCATTTGCAGGGGGCTTACATGAACAGAATGTGTAAAAAAACCCGGAGTGAAAAATGCAAGCAAGGCGTTTTGTACCCCAGAAGCTTCTTCAACTACACTGACTAACAACTAGCTGACCGGGGAAAATATGACACTTTGAGCATGATCAATTACCGTTGTGGTGCATACGCTAAAAACGTGTGAAAATTTGGCGTTCCTAGCACAATCTCAGAGAAACCTAGTTCTAACTAGAACCGAATATTCTTTGAATGATGAATTAACAGTATATCTAGATGATTTACTAAAGAAAGAATATGTATTCGACAACAGTTTCAAACGGCGGGGCACATTACAAATGATGTCGCAGTAGAAACGAACAGCCCCGGAGTTGCTTCTACAGTTACCGGGATTTTACAGCTATTCATGACGAAGTGATTTGAATGTTTAACCACTTAAAGTACCTCTAAAACTAATTCGTTGAGGCTGCTGCACTGGAGGACAATAAAATGAATTAAGACTTGAACTTTACAGGTCTTGAACTTTTGGGTCCACAGGTGGTCTGGAGTGGAAAAAATGGCAACTACCACAACAGAGACCAAAATTTTGTAAGGCAAAAGAATCATTTTTATCACTACTATATTCATCGCCTATATTCGTCACCTTATTGGTGTCGAAAACAAGTGAGCTTTAAAAGCGACTCAGCATTACCCAGGAATTCCTACGAAAGACATAATCTGACACGACCAAAAATATAAGCCCGTATAAAGGTTATACATGAGTTGCGCTAGTAAATGCGCCGGTTTTCAACGCTACAAGTTTAGTCTCATAGTATTCTAACGTGAAAGGTAGATTGGGGTGGGAACAATCCTGTAAACGTTTCACGTTTATAAAACGCCACGTAAAAAGCCTTTCAAAATTCACACGCTTCATCAATTAGTTGCCTCAAGCAATGCAGTTGTTTACTTGTTTCTTCTTAACGTGTGTACATTTCAGTCAGTGGAGCATATAATATTTTGTAGAATAAGCTCATTTTAACGCGCAAACGATATGTATATATATATGTAACTTTTGAGCCAACCTGAAACAGCAATTTTAACCAAATTCAGTAGTATACCTATATACAATGAAAGTCCTTGACGGGCACATAATGACCACTAAAGGTGATCATCATGGATGACTGATGATATCATCCTCATCATCATTGTCATCTGTAATAACCGCGTACTTGTCGTACAGTGGTTGTAGCTGCCGCAGTTTCGTTCATCGATGATTGGGGGGTAGGTAGCTGCGCATTGCAGGCGCGAGCTGATAAATTGGTTCATAAATCCAGCACTGTCAGTGAGCTGTCAAGTGGGGGGGTTGGAAAAGGAGCTATATATTGAAAGCAATAGCTTGGATGCACGAACGCCATTTAGGGCGCGACTGGGCCATGTCTGGTAATGTATCTAGCCATTGATGTGGCCCGTCTCGGGGTCCCCATCCAGGAAGACGGCAGTGACCAGCGCAGCTGAGTTCGTTGGTAATGGCTTTCATACTTCACTGCCAAATTATTGTTTGACCGCCTCTGGCTCTCTTCCACCCTTCACGTGGTTGTGCAAAAAGAGCCCTTCGAAGAAGTCGGTCGACTGGAATACGCAGCACGTGGCCAAGCCAGCGCAACCTATGCAGTGTGATCAGTTCATTTATCGAGGAGTAAACTTGTACGCCCTAATTAATAATGCACAGAAATAGCCTGCGGTCAACACAAATCTAAATCAATCACTCGTTTTCCATTCATATCGAGTCCTAATTGCGTCGCAGATACGCTAAGCCCTCCCAACTGCACATACAAAACTCCGGTAATCCCAACCATATCTTCGCTTTTGACTCGCGGCAACAGGGCGTCATAAAACTTGTCTTTGATCGTGTCAGAGCTACAATCTCCGTGGCATATGCAGACATGACAAGCAACTGCCCGCTTGTGAGACACCAGACGAACCGTACAAAGGCGACTATCAGTGGGTATCCAGGCAAGAATCTTTCCGCCCGGTGACTTAGGACGATACCGACCCCTGCACATCCTTCCGCAACAAACTCTGGATCGCCAGAAGCGAGCAGTTGGAGTTGAAGGAGAGCTGTGGGGCGGTTAGCCCAACCATATTTTACAGCTTTTTCTCGAAAGATATCTGGCACATGTTGTAAGCGGAATACCGTTAATCTAAAGTCACAACATTCCTACCGAAAGAAGTTTCTTGATACGGTACATCAAAATTTGCAAATTGGAGTAGGTGGTGTGTTTAAAGAGATGTGATTTATGCTGAGGTGTGCACAAACTCGCCCGAAAGAGGCACCGAGAATGCTTAAAGTATACGGCGACGATATCATATGGAGACTTGTCGGATATCCGAAAAATATTTTTACACAACCTGATGGTTTGTTGCTGCATAAATACAAGCCTACATTTCATAGGACTAAAATAAAGCTCTACATAGAGTCGGATAATCACACTTGTTCTAAAGTAAACAATGGATCATAGAAACACACACCTTCAGATAGCCATTTCTTAACTTCTTTCGCCGTTTGCGCATTCTTTGGTTTTCCATGTTCAGGTACTTTTGATGTATGTAACCTAGCAGCTCAGTGGTGTGTTTAAGCCCTAGCTGGATTAGATGCTCACTAATAAAAGACGTTTCTGTGCCCTGGATAACCCGTTCCTGTTCAGATTCGAGTCTGGAATCTATTCCAATTTTCATCAGGCAGGTACTAGGAATTCCAAAAGCCCAACCGTCGCACAATGATGTGGAGGAAATGAGGAGGAGAAATGAACAATTGTGCGTTACCGGTACACGTTTTGGTTTTCAATTATCTCTTCGTGGATTTATTAGTTTTACCCGGTCAAATTAAGTGGTAGTATATGGCTGTGTTGAACATTTCTTAAACCTCTGTTGCCGAACCTCCCGACTTAAGATAGGTATCTTGGCGGGAACTTCCGTTCTCACTTATCCGGATGCCGCACAACTTCAGTTTAACCGTGAAAATTGAGTTGCTTTGCTCCATACTGAGAGGTCGTTTGCGTAGATGATGCAGAGTGTGATACCCAATAACGCCAAATCGCGCTCCAGTCAAATATTCTTTTGCTATGAGTTTCTCCGCTATTAGTGAAGCATTGGTGTTGAGCACTGATGTCATGCTGTCGTTGATGATGATGATGATGAGTCCGTACGAGTTAGTGATACATTAAACAGAATGTCCTTCGGTTAAACGTAGCCGCATAGTTTTTCCGCCAATCAAGGTTCTTTATTTTTTTCAATAGACCACTCCTATCGCATCATACATTTAGACCGTGTACTATGCAAAAGTTCTGCACAGATTCCGCGCAGGATCTGCACCCAGGCGCGGGCGCGTGATGAGTACCTCAACATTAAGCTTGAGGTGCACAATTGTGTTTTTTAGGCTGCCGTAATAGCTACGCCAAAAATGTCTCACAGCTGAGGGAATATTACTTTATTGATAATATACGCTGTGGTAGGAAACATCGTGTTTTGGAATCTAACCCAATGGTCTACAAATCAGCGTCAACCTACAGCGATATATACGTGTTTATGATATATCGATGATAATCAGGGGCTCTAAACTGCTGCCTATCATCATAGTTTTACCGGCCAAACTCATACATGGTCCAGGAAATTAAACAAATAATTTTTTTGTGGTGACCGCAAGTTAAGGTACCTCAACACGACGTCGTGACTGATCCTGTTTTTAGAAGATTGAATTCGTCAAAATATATGACATGTTTTCAACAAACGTAAAAGCGATACGCACTCGAGAGCATTATCCGGCTTCTCTGGTTCTTCATATAAACCTACTAGTACTGTAGAATTTTCGCGTGACATAACTTTACCACCTTACCCTTGGTTAATGCATCCAACACTCCAGCCTTCTCCAAGTATTTCCGAAATTCCTCTCGTTTTGAATCACCTGCCTAGAAACAAAATAAAAACATATGTTGTGACCAACCTTGTAGCCGGACATAACGGCGTTTTCAAAAACTCGTAGCGTTGCTACGGTATTAATACATCTAGTTTGACATACTTAAACAAAAGACTAACAAGGTTCAACAGGTTTATATATCAAACTGAGGCGGAAGGTTTTCAGGCCCGGATTGGTTAGCAACACCTCTGCTCAGATCCAGGTAGACGGTGTAAATTGGAATGGTCGAACATCACTCGCTGATTTGTCCGAGGCTTAGGATAAAGTACGTAGCTGCAAAACCGACAAAATACCTCAGTCAGGGTTTATCTCCAAAGCTTTAGTATGCGAAAGAAAACAGCAGAATTAAAATATAGAATTCGTTTACATATATGTTCACACTAAATATTTCCAGAACCTGCCTTTCGTTGAATATTGTTTCAATTTACTCACATTTTAATTTTTGCGCATTTCAGTTGTTTGTTTGTCTACAATGAGTGTAATATATTGGGTACCTCTTAATTTGAGTGACTGCTCTGCACAAGCTTGCTTGCTGGGCTTCGGCTCATGAACTTTCTGCTTTCCCTCCATAAACTTTTCGTGAAAATCTACCTTAGGAGAACCAGTTCCCTGGTGCTTCACCAGCATGCATGCCACATAATTGGCGACCACGCCATTAAGGTTACCAGACATTTGTGGTTCTACCGAGAATTACATGGCTCTACGCATGTGCATACAGGCGACACAGTCAACACGGTACCCAATCACACACGGCGGGCACAATCCCAGACAGCAAAATCTGAACCGACTCGCCACCCACCCGCACCGCACCACTGGCACCGGCGGGTTCAGATAAGTCATTGTACGCTTGGGACGGTGTTCTTCAAAAAACGGGGTCAGTGTAGTGCACGGTGCCACCAGTTTGATTGATGTAAAACCTTGCTTACTGGGCTCATGCGATTTTTTTCTTCCGCAGAAAATATCGAAAACACCTGTTTTTGGGGAATCACTGTCTTTGAGTGCTTGCACAGCTTGTATAACGCATTAAGCAACCCAAAGTTGTTGAATAAAACTTTTTACGTGAGAATGTAGCGTTTGCTGTATGTACTCTCACTCCAAAACACCACAATAACCCGCCTTCGTTTTGTGTTTGTATTACTTAATCTCATCTTTCTTCGTAACATTTGGCGTACATTTCTGTTTTAAGTTTTCGGCACTATGGTTACATCCGGCTCCCAGAAACACCCAAAGTTTCTCTGAAACTGTGGCTCGAAGAAGGAAAACTTTAACATAATGCCTTACTATTTAGTAGTGATTATTCTGGCCCTTAAGATCATCCCGCGCGGCCGCAGTTTTATTAGAAGTTGTTTAAACGGACTCGGAGTGCGCTGCGCTCGCGGAATTCGTAATTCAACGGCTTTTGGCGGCTCGGAGCACTCTCTGTAAAACCGGTGGAAAATTTTGTGGAAAGCTCATTTCTTCGCTGTTTTCTTAAACAATGTAGTTGGAACCAATCTCACAAAATGATCAGGCCCATTATGTCTTGGCAAACATACGTTATATCTGGCTTAATGCAAGGTTTGATATTCATCGAGCCACCAATAGTGCCGTTCGATGAGTTGTTGGGTTTGTGGACAGAGCGAGCAGGAGGCACAATAAGGTGGTCACTGCCTTTAAGACCTTGTACAAACAAAATGGTCTTGTAGCTAACACAATAATCTGGGAGGTATTAGAGATATAGTGAACTACGGGCAAGCCATCAGACAGGATATGGTAGTCGAGGTACCGTCATCATGACGTCATGCTTGTGTCTGTGGACATCCTCGTACATGAACATCTTGGATGAGCCTGCAGCGGACAAGGACCTAAGTATGCGTGTTCAATAAAATATATAATCAAAATATCAGATTAGAAACAACAAATGGCAATAAGAAGTGGACAAGTGGATGGAACAGATTCACTAAATTGGGGTCCAATAATCCCACTACACGAACTGTTGTGCAGTAATCGTATTTGGCGGCGAAGAATATATCCAGAGTGAGAAGGATATTCTCCACTGATAGTTCGAGTGTTAGAAGTAAATTCCACGGTAGGAATTTATCACAGCTGAAAACTGTCACAAGGAGTTATTGTGGCGTTCAACAGTTCATACACAAACAAAATAATCCAATTCCTACGACTTCAGCAAACAGAAATCAGTCCAATCGGATGCAATTTCATTGACTCAGCAAAAAGCAGGGAACTCGCGCCAAGAAATTGTGTATTTCCACCATTTTCGATTTTAATGTAATTATTGGTACAATAAAACAAAATGTCATGATACGTGTACAGTGTTTACAAATTGCAATTCAAGTTTATATGAAGAGAGTAGAAAATGGGGAAAATGTAACATTGATTTGCAAAACACAACAAGCCGTTGTGGTTCTCACTGTAGTCAGGATATTTTTGGGTCTTTTGAGGGTTCTCAGTGGTTCATTGCTTCCTTTCAAACGAGGTAACAAGACAGCCGTTTCTACACAGGGGACTCGAAATAGAAAAAGCTGTCCAGAATTCTGCTGGGAAGCACTTTGATATGAGGTAAAATGCCACCCGATATAACAGACTTATAGTTGTCACAATTCCTGTCGGCTTCAATGATACGATACTGCCCGGTTTCGAAAGCGATTATCGATATTCAAGTATGCGGGCGATGCGAACTGGAGTTGGCATGTGCGATAATGATGGACGTGCATTTGCTGGAGTGTGCGTAACTAAGGTAGCTCAGATCCTGCAGGGACGTGAGATCAGAGATATCTGGTATTGCTTCGTGCTTTTACGCTGAGCTGACCTCAGAATGGAGCTGTTGTAGTCTAAAGAAAGCGTGAAGCTTTTCAAAAGCAGTTGCGTCTAAGGCGTAATATCATGTGTACTTGGTGAGTCTCTTTGGGTTCCACTCAAAAGTTGGGAATAAACATTATTATTATGTATGGATATGAGGGACCGCCGTCGTTAGATTGGCCTATTATGTATAGCTGGGACATTTTAGTCAGCTAGGAGCATGTGCACAACCCCGGCATGACGTTCAGTAAAATTATGAATATAGTGAACCGTCGTTGGCCATTGGACTGGGATATTGCGGATACTTGAGGCCTCCTGCTCAGCGATGCTCATAGACACAGGCCTGGCAATTTCGATGAGTAGCCAAGGTAGGCGACGCTGATTACATTTACGAGTATGACGGGCTGTCGTTGGTCGTTAGATTAGGATATCACGAATAGTTGTGTCCTCATTTTTATCAGCCTGCATAGATACTGGCCTGGTGTTTACTACAGGTAGCAGACATAAGCGGGAGCGCGCACAGTCATGAGTATGGATTCTGCAGTTTGATTAGGACACTGCACATAATTGAGGCCCAACAATCAGCGTCACATACAGGCACTGGACTAGCATATTATAAAGTAGCCAAGGTTTACAATATCGCGTACATTTGTGCGTATGAGGCCGGATTAGGTTACCGGTTAATCAACGCCGCACATGGACAAAGACACAGCAGGTACAATAGGTAGCCAAGTAAGGCGACATCGAGTACAGCAGTGAGTATGACAAGCCGTCGGATTAGGCTCCCACGTATGGTTGATGCCTTGTTTTTAACTGCTCGCATGGATACTGGTGTAATGTATGCTATAGGTCGCGAAGATAAACGGCATCGCATATGGTTGTGGGTAGGAAGGGCCGTCGTTGGCCATTGGATTATGCTACTGTGTATAGGCGCGGTATCACAATCAGCGTTGCACATGGATTTGGGCGTAGCAAATACAACAAGTATTCGAGATGAGTGAATGCGAGTAGAGATGCGAGTACAAGGGGCCGTCGGTGGCCATCGGATTAGGCTGCCGCGTATAGGTGAGGTCCCATAATCAGCATCACAAATAGACACCGACCCAGCATTTACGATAGGTGGTCGATGTGAGTGACAACGGCTACCGTCATCATGGCGACCGCTTTATGGCCGTCACCACCTATAAAGCGTCATATTCATAATAGGAATGATATATGCAGTCATCTCGTGACGCTGTATTGTCTACAGGCTAGCTATGAATATTTGAGAAGAGATATCATTCACAAGTGACCCTTGCATCGCCAGTGAACAGTTCATGATGTTGTCTAACATTATTGTGCTTAATGGAAAATGTGTTGTGAAAAGGTTTGCCGAACAAAATCATCGCATTTGTAAAATCTGAGGAGTGTAGGGCAAACAAACGTCAATGACCGATCTTCCAGGGTGGAGTTTGCATTAAAGATTCTTTGGATGTTTCTTATTCTTAATGAGCATCAAAGAGCACAAAAATATGCTAAATTGAGACTTTGTCTTACATCACGTGAACCGGAGATAAATGCGAACCATTGGTGGTCCGTGACCTTGAAATTTAGCTCACTTGAACAAAACGCTATGAGCGAAACATCAACAAAAGGTGCAAATGGAATGGAGTAACTCCCCGTTGTAGTAACAACCCCGAAACCCCTACAGTTTTGGCGAAAATAATTTGGGTGTGCAAAGAGCCATTGGCGCCTCGGCAAATGTTTTCAGTCTTTGTTCATACTGTCCGGCCGGATCATCTCAATATGCTGCCTCACCAAATCAGTTACCCTAGTTCCTTATTTCCCGCAAATTGCAGTTTTCCTATCTCATGTCAGGCAGGATACCTTGGGTCTTCATTCCATGTTTGTGTTGTTGCCCGCCATCTTCAAGTTGCAACTGTTTCATTTTGGTCAAGCTTGATATAACCCCATTAAATTGGAAACCCCATTAAATGTGCTTCTCTTCCCTCGATGCTTACTGCATTTAAATCATGTCAGTTTATATATCACCGCATCCACCTCTAATAGTGCTTACTGCTTATGTGACCTTGCCGTTTTCGCGCGATCTTGAGTACCCACAAATCCCATTAGTGATGCTCGCATTCTGTCTGTACGATTACGATCATACCTGATAGTATTCCACACACCAGTCGGGTATAAACATCGCTAATAATG